TGCGTGACGCGAGCAATCCACTTGGAACTTGTAGAAGATTTGTCAACGGGAGCGTTTATCCGGGCTTTGCGGTGATTTGCAGGGAGACGAGGGACACCAGTTTTAATTATATCTGACAACGCCAAAACCTTCAAAGCCGCTGATAAAGCTCTCAAGAAGCTTTTCAATCACCCAGAAGTCGCTAACGAATTGTCCGGCAAAATGATCGAATGGAAGTTCAACTTAGAGAGAGCACCTTGGTGGGGAGGGTTTTTTGAAAGAATGGTTGGATGTGTTAAGCGTTGTTTGAGAAAGGTGTTAGGTAACGCAAGACTGACCTTTGACGAATTGTTTACTGTGTTGATCGAAGTAGAGGGGACTTTAAACTCCCGGCCCTTAACTTACGAGTATGATGAAGCGGGCGAGGAAGTTCTTACCCCGTCGCATTTGATTTTCGGAAGAAGAATTAAAACAGTGCCAGATGAAATTGTGGAGGACGAAGAAGAAGGTGAGAGTAGATACACTAGGAGATTCAGGTATTTGAGCGTTAGATTAGCGCATTTTTGGAATCGGTGGAGGCGTGAGTACTTAACTGACTTACGCGAGTTCCATCGGACCAAGGTAAGTACAGACCCGAGGTCTGTACAGATAGGTGATGTAGTCACAGTGTACGACGAGAGTAAGAGGCGTGGAGAGTGGAGATTAGCAGTTATTGAGAGTCTTATCAAGGGAAACGATAATGTGGTAAGGGGGGCAAACATTCGAGTCATTGCCAAGGGAAAGCCCTCGCGTATGTCTAGACCCGTTCAGAAACTCTACCCCATAGAAGTGCAGAGCGAAATTCAACCCGAAGTGCCACGGGAAAGTGTAAAGGAGGGTACAAAAAACCTTAGGCGCAACCCTAGACGCGCTGCAGCAGCAGATGCGCGTTGGAAAACTAACTTAATGCTTGACTCGTAGACGAGTCAAAGGGGGGAGAGTGTTGTGAAACGTTAGGATGCTTATGATTGTATTTTCTTATTTCATTGAATTTTTAGTAGTTGATAAAGTAAGCATTATCTCGCCACCGCTAAAACAGATGTTTAGATTGTAACAGGAAATATCGTGGGATAAGATAATTAGAATTAATCAATGTTGTATTTAATCGGGTATTACTAGCTTAACCGCACATAAGGATTAGCACCATGATTGTCAAGTAAACCCACGCTTAATAGGAAATTAGTGCCCACGAATCGATGTTAAACGTGAGCAAAGAACTTGGACCGCGTTTGATTATTGTGACCACGCCGGAATTACGCATCTGGGTGTGGATTTTCTTAGCTAATATACGCAGCATTTTTGTAGAATTTAGTTAGATTGAAATTGATCGTAGAACGGAACGTGTAATGTTGGATTGTGAAGAATAAAGTCAGATTTGTACGAAAGCATACAGTCCTCGATTGTTGAACCAGCGCGTGCGGAATCTCTCTCTATCGCAAGTGGGAAATTCTGCGAAATTCCCCATAGACGAACAACAGGAAGTGTAAGGCTATTTCCAGAGTCAAATGTCACTTGAAACAATGGTCACTTGGTACTTGAACATTGCGTGTAAGATAAGACTGGGCAAATGTCCCATCGACTAGGTATCAGCTGAAGACTTAACCAGGAACAGCAGCAAGTTGGTCAGCGGCCTAAGACTTCCTCCACAGCAGATGAGGAGATATGCAATAACAAACAACAAAACAAAGGATCAGTCTGTGAAGTAACCACAATTAGTTGACTAATTACCCAAACTGGATGCAACTGGTGTATCTGTCAAGTCAGGGCCAGATACTGAGATGTGAGAACCCAATATATATTGACAAAATTTTCAAACAATTCCTTATCGATAAACCGGAATACACATGCTCACGGTTGTTGTTTGTAAGCTACTAAAAGTAACTGTATAATTTATGGTTTCAACCCAATTATTGAAACAACGACAATAGTACATTCCGAGGCCCCTTGGGGACAACCAGAAGAAGAAAGGTCAGCTCCAAAAGAGAGGACTCACCCAACGAGACCATTATCACGCAACAACAACACAACAACCAGGCTAAAGAGAGGTCCTAATCCTCTCTCTGGGGTCCTGATCCTGGTCCTGATTTTTGTTGTTTTTGTTTTTGTTTTTGTATTTTTTAATTTTTTTTTGTATTTTACCCTTTTTTTTATTTTTTACTTATTTTTTTTGCATTTGTTTGTTTTATTATTATTATTATTATTATTTTATTTTTTGTTGTTATTTTTTTTTTCTTTTTTTTTTTTTATATATGTGCTTATATGTTGTACCCCTGGGGACAACCACAACAGACCATCAAGTCCCCAGGCTACAGAGAGGTCCTAATCCTCTCTCTGGGATCCTAATTCCCAGGTCCCCTGGGGACAACCACAACAAACCATCAAGTCCCCAGGCTACAGAGAGGTCCTAATCCTCTCTCTGGGATCCTAATTCCCAGGCCCCCTGGGGACAACCACAACAGACCATCAAGTCCCCAGGCTACAGAGAGGTCCTAATCCTCTCTCTGGGATCCTAATTCCCAGGCCCCCTGGGGACAACCACAACAAGCCATCAAGTCCCCAGGCTACAGAGAGGTCCTAATCCTCTCTCTGGGATCCTAATTCCCAGGCCCCCTAGGAACAACCACAACAAGCCATCAAGTCCCCAGGCTACAGAGAGGTCCTAATCCTCTCTCTGGGATCCTAATTCCCAGGCCCCCTGGGGACAACCACAACAAGCCATCAAGTCCCCAGGCTACAGAGAGGTCCTAATCCTCTCTCTGGGATCCTAATTCCCAGGCCCCCTGGGGACAACCACAACAAGCCATCAAGTCCCCAGGCTACAGAGAGGTCCTAATCCTCTCTCTGGGATCCTAATTCCCAGGCCCTGAGAGGTGGTAATCCCTGAAAATTTTAGCTTATTGCTGGTTTTTACATGACGTCACTATCCTACCGAAATTTTTACTTTCACGATGCATTAGAGCAGCTGAAAACTAATTTTCATAAAAATTTTCGCTTCAAAAGGGTTATTGGATTTGTGATACAATACGTTTGAATTTCTAAGCTTTTGCGTGACACGGAATCTACATGACGGCCAAAAGAGCTGTCATGTAGGTTTAAAAAATGACTTATTTCAGGAAATTTTGCTATCTAAACAGTTCATGTATTAGAAAAAGTATTACTTTCATGTTTATGAGTTTCTCGAAGGATAAATTCACCCTTTTGGAGCAAAAACTCGGTAACAGATGTTTCTGTTGGTTTCCGTCCGCCATGTTGCATGGCGTCTCCATACAAATCTCTATAAGTTTAGGGAAAACATTTCTACGGATATCTCGTATACGAAATATTCCTCTGACCTGAATCTTGGTGAGGGTCTTTGTATATGTACCTCCTTTCATTTCCAAGATGCTGGACTTTATCTATTGAACGGTTTTGATATTTATTTTGATCTATTTTGAATGGCGTGACACTGAAAACTAGCAATAATTCCTCTTTATGATCCGGAGAACTAAGGAAATTTTTGATTTACGAATACTGTAAAACGCGCCATTTAAAAAAGGCAGTCTGCACGTGCGAAGCATGAAACCGACCTTGATGATTTTCTGTCATGTATCATTCTCAACTCATAATATGTTAGATGTGAATAAAGAATTAAAACTGAAATTCAATCCATTATTTGAAAAAACCTCGAAGACCTAATCGTCACAAATTTGATTTTAACAGTCCTTATTCTTTCTTACTCCATAGTAAGAGCATAATAAAAGAACGGACGTGCATACTTGAATCCCTGGGACTTGAATAAAGTGAATTTCAGAGGCCGCGGCGCCAAGTCCTTCTTCATAATAATAAGTGAACTCAAAAATAACTTTCCATGGCTGAAAGCGCTCAGTACAGTCACATGCACACAATATTGCAAACACAGATGTCGTTCGAGGCACAATACAATACGAATATTAAGTTAACTATCGATAGACCAGAAAAATACCGCACCTGAATCATGCATATGAGAGAGCAACTCTGATCCCAAAGGAAGACACACTGGGCTAAGATGATTTGCTGCGGAGGAACCTTGACCGTGAAGTGCCAGCCGAGAGAGTCGAAACGGCTAAAGTGACGGTACATGCGAGAGGATATCGAAAGTTCAAGAAGAGGAGAAAGCAGCGACATTCGAGAGGAGGGTTGCACGATTGTAGATCAATGTTCCAAGGACGGAGTTTTACCAAGAGCGGCGGTGCAACATCTCTTCGTGGAAGGTCTGTCCAGAAAAACTCAAACGCGTACGGCTTGTATGCTGGTAGAAGATCAAGGTAGCTCTTGCTAAAAGGTGATCTCGTCATTACAGCTTAGCAAAAATTCGAATTCATGAAGAAAAAATCCAGGCTATAAGTAACAAACATTTTGTTCCACGAAGAGACGAATATGAAGTGCTACTTTGCTGAGCTAGGCGCGAAAATATAGGCATTAACTGTACATGTGATAGCTGGCATCTAATTGGCTGAGCGAAACAATTAGTGTGACAGGGGTCACATGCAGGAAGTGACCCCTGAAAGGAAGTGAGCTAATTCCACTACTGGTAAGGGCGGGTTTATGGTTATCACATTAACTGCAATTTATCCTGTTGTATAAATTAGCTTAGAAAACAAGTTCAATGGTAATCGAACTTTTGTTGGTTCTGACTGCCTTTGCAACATCGATCCCAAAGTAGGTGCAGTGATTTACTATTTCAAGCATATTCTAGAAAACGGAGTACAAGGGATCTACAAGGGGCAAGTACAACCGATTACATGTAGTCGAACATTTACGCCCACCCCTCATAAAAAACCTGGACGGGCGATGGGAAGTCTCGGTGATTTACCCTAAAACTGAGTCTTTGCTTGTAGGTAAATCGTATTCTCTTAGGTTGAAAGCAAAGTATGTAAGAGGCCAGTTAACGTTCACAGCATTGTACATTTAGAGGGTTAGTTCAATTAAAACAAGTCATGATTTGATTTCACTGTGTGTTTTAT